TCCATCTCCAGAACCTTTCCATCTTTCCAGGCAGAAACTCTGTACCTGCTAGACACTAGCTCTACACTTTTTTTGCCCTTAGCCCCTGGCAACCACCATTGTATTTCTGTCTCTGTGAATTTGACAACTTTAGTTACCTTATGCAAATGGAACTAGACAATATTTGACCTTTTATGCCTGGCTTATTTCATTTTGCATAATGTATTCCCAGCTCATCCATGTTGTAACGTGTCAGAATTTCCTTGCATTTTAAGGCTGAATAATATTCCATTTTATGTATACACCACATTGTGTTTATTCCTTCGTCTGTTGATAAGCATAGGCTAGTTCCACTTTTTGGCTATTATGACTAATGCTGCTGTGAATATGGGTGTAGAAATATCTGTTCCCATCCGTGCTTTCATGATTTTGAGTATACACTTAGAAGTGAAATTGTCATATTATCTGATAATTTTGTTTTCCACAGCAGCTGTCTATATTCCCAGTACACAAGGGTTCCAGTTTCTCTATATCCTTGTCAATACTTGTCAGTGCCTGTGGGTTTTTGGTTTTGATAATTGTTATCCTAATGGACATGAAGTAGAGTCTAGTGATTTTGTTTGCACTTTCCTAATGGTTAGTGATATTATCTAAATTATTAGCATCTTTTTATATGTTCATTGGCTATTAGTATATCATGTTTGGAGAAATGTCTCTGTGATTTTTGCCCGTTTTTTAATTACATTTTTTTTTTTTTTTTGGTACTGGGGATCAAACTTGGGTCCTTGCGCTTGCACAACAGGCGGCGAAACCACTGAACTAAATCCCCAGCCCCAACTGATTATATATTTTGTTCCTGAGTTGTAGAAGTCTTTAAACAGATTTTGAATATTAATCCCTTGTAATTTTCAATATTTACTTGCATTTCATAGTTTTCTTTTCACTCTGTCCATACTCAGTTGGGTCCTTTTGATAAAAATTTTTTAATTTTGATGTTTAATTGATCTGTTGTTGCCTTTGGTTTCAAATCTAAGAAATCACTACAAAATCTAATGCAATGAAGCTTTCCCCCATTTTTCTCCTAATGGGTTTTAATAGTAGTTTTAGCCCTTATTTCGATCCATTTTGACGTAAATTTTGTATATGGTATAAAGAATCAAATTCATTCTTTTCACATGTAAATATTCAGTTTTCCCAGCACCAGTTGGTAAAAAGACTGCCCTTTCTGCATGCACTGACTTGTCACCCTTGTCGACATTTATGCTAGGGCTTATTTCTGAACTATCCTGTTCCATTGGTCTTTATACTGATACCACACTTACTTTTTATATTGTATTTTTATTTATTTATTTTTGAGACAGAGTCTCATTCAGTTACCTATGTGGGCCTTGCACTCATATTCCTCCTACTTTAGCTTCAGCCTTAGATTACAGACTCTCAACACCACGCCTGGCTTATTATTTGTTATTTTTAGAGCTCTCTTGCATTCACGGTAACATTGAGTAGGAGATGCAGTGATTGTCCATATATGTCTTGCTTAGCCCCTCTTCCTATATCCTTTCCCAACATCAGAATCCTGCATCAGAGTGGTACATCTATTATAACTGGTGAACCTACATTCATACTCCATGATTACCCAAAGTAATGGCTTCTCTCTTGGTGTTTTATGTTCTATGAGTTTTGCACAATGTATATTACATTATCAGAGTAGTTTCACTGCCCTGAGAATCATTTGTGCCCTGCCCATTAATCCCTTTCTCCCTTCCACACTCTGGCATCCACTTATCTTTTTACTGGACTTCTTATGGACTGTCCCCATAGTTTTGCCTTTCCCAGAATGTTATAGAGTTGGAATCATACAGTATGTAGCCTTTTCTAATTGGCTTCTTCCATTTAGTAACATATATTTATGGTCCCTCCATGTCTATTTGTAGCTTGACAGCTTATTTCTCTTTAGCACTAAATAATATTTTATTGTCTGTCTGTACCACATTTTATCCAGTCATCACTCACTAAACACCATCTCAGCTGCTTCCAAGTTTTGGCAATTACAAATACAGCTGCTGTAAGCATTCATGTTCAGGGTTTTGTGTGGACATGTTTTCAACTCATTTGAATAAATACCATGGAGTAGAATTGCTGGATCATCTGGTAAGAGTATGTTTAGTTTTGTAAGAAACTGCCAAACTATCTTCCAAAATGGCAGTGTCATTTTTCATTCCTACCAGAAATGAGTAAGTTCGTGTTGCTTCACATCCTTGTTGGTATTTGATGTTGCCAATGTTTTGAATTTTTACCAGTTTAATAGGTATCAGATACATAGTGATATCTCATTGTTGTATAAAAAGGTAGCTTTGTTTTTAGTTTTGACATCAAGAAATATGAGATCTCCAACTTTGTTCTTTTTCAAAAAATGTTTCAGTATTTGGGTTTCCTTCAAATTCCATGTGAATTTTGAAGTTATTTTTCTATTTCTCCCCTCTAAAAGTCATGGAAATTTTGGTATCTGCAGATCACTTCAGGTGGTGTTGACATCTTAAACAATACTACATCTTTCAGTCTATGGACGTGGAATGTCCCATAGTGAAAACATTTGTTGTGCCTTCATTAGTCTTTCAGGAATATTTTGTTGGTTTCAATGTATAAGTCTTTCATCTCCTTAGGTAAGTGAGTTTGTAAGTATTTTATTATTTTTGATGTTATTGTGACTAGAATTGTTTTCTGAATTTCCTTTTTGGAATTGTTCATTGTCACTGATTTTTATGTGTTGATTTGTTATCCTGCAACTTTTCTGACCTCATCTATTATTTTTAACAGTTTTGTGTGGAATATTTAGGAGTTTCTACATATGAGATCAGGTCCTCTATAAACAAAGATAATTTTTACTTCTTCCTTTCTTTTTCTTTCTTTTGCCTATTGGTGTAGCTAGAACTGCTAATACTACATTGACCTGAAGTGGTGAAAGTTGGCATCCTTCTCTTATTCCTGATCTTAAGAAGTAAATCTTTCAGTCTTCTACCATTGAGTGTGATGTTACTTGTATATGCAAACAGTTTTTAAAGGAGCTTGAAAGGAGGTAGGATTATGAATTCCTGGGATGTGTTTAAAATTGTGTGCCTCTGTCTTCCCATCCCCTGGCACAGTGTCTGGCACATACTGAATAAATGGATAAATGTTAAAGAAAGGTCGTTTCTCGAAACTTAGTGAACTATTGGTACTTCTGAGTGGTAGGTTGATTTGGTGTTCATGAGGGTGGAAAGCATTGAAGGGGAGTTAGTAGGGTGATGATATGTCTTCATTTTGTCCACTGATGAGTAGGGGTTGGACACTCATGGGCAACAAGGGCACTTTGATCTTAATACACTTTACTTGGATAATCCTGGGTTTTAGTGACATGGTTCTGTGGTTATCTTTCCCTTCTCAGTGTCAGCACATAACAGCTGGAGCAAAATAACATATGTTGTATCTCTTGTATTTATGACTACTAAATAAATAACTTACAGCCCATTGGATGCAAAGAAACTGAGTGAAATGCTATAAATTATAGATGGAAGTTGTTAATGCTAATAGTGTGTGTAACATATGCCTTACTTTGGCACTGCTTTGAAATAATGCAACTGATTTAAAAGGCTGGAGTCTGTTTGCCTCCTGTTTAATTTGGAATGGTTGGAAACCATGGAGTCACCACTATTTCATTAGTCATGCCATGTTCTTTCATTGGAATGTATCCCCTCAAGTTGGAGTAGATAAAAATTCTGATTAACTGTAGTCTAAGAATGGGAAAATCAAATGATTTTATTTAATGCATTTGGGACTTCTCTTCATTTGGACTTTTTAACAAGCGAGTTTTAAATATGAACTAGTGTGTCCTCACTTTTCCCCTTTTACAAGGCCATCTGGGTGACAGATTTTAAAAATGTATTCTGTAAATGCAGAACTTGTTAATAACTTCGAGAGGTGGCAGGATGTAGTAGAAATAACAGACGTTTTGTCTCAGCGAGATATTTTTTGGCTGCAAATAATCCAAACCATATAGATTGCACAAAGGGATTTTAGAATATTGAAACATGTCTTCAGGATACAGGCCATTCTGTAGGACCCAAGGCAGGAGGGGCAGCCAGGCTCACAAGGGCCTGCGCCTAGGACCTGGAAGCCCCAGAACTGAGGTCACTGCATCTGTGCTTCCAGACTGCATGGTCTCATTGCCTCTTTTCTCTCCACATTTTCTCCTTTCTTCTCTCTCAGCAGACTGGTTACCTTTGTTTCTTTCTGTGCACAGCCAGACAGAGCTGCCCAGCTCTGCCTTTTTATTGCTCCTTGTTCAAGGGCCAATGGAGGCCGCCAGGCATCTCTGATCTCTAAATTCCTGGAAGTCAGAATCTGATTACCTCATCTTGAATCAGAGGACCACTCTAGGCCTGTTCATTTATTAATTCAGAAGTTCTCTACTGAGTTCCAGGAACTGTTTTAGGTCTTGGAAATATATCTTGTCCAGGGTGGGGGTGGGAAGACAGAGAGAAACAAGAGGAAAAGAAGAGAGGAAAGACGAGAGGAAAGAGTGGCTTTGAAAGTTTATTCTTTGGGGGCTGGGTTGAGGATTGCAATTTTCAGAGAAAGTGAATTTAGAAAGGCCTAGATTCAGATCTTGATTCTTCCCCTTATCAGCTCCGTATGACCCAGGGCATCAAATTACCTCTCCCAGCCTTGAGTTTTTAATCAGTAAAATAATCCTTTATAGGGTAGGTGTGAGGATTAAAGTGAAATGGTGCTTGGAAAGCCAGTAGCATATATAGTGTCTGCCACATGGAATCAGAACACTGATACTCTGAGCATGTTATAAACGTGTCTAAATCTGTTTCTTCATCTATAAAATGGGAAAGGGTATCATCTACCTCTTATGCTTGTTTTGAGGATTAAATCATGTGATGCATGTCGGGTGTTAGGGATTTGTACATAAAGGACACCTGGTGTGATCACTGATCTTCTTCTTATTAATCACTTTTCCCCCCTGCTTTTTCTAGTTCCCATTTGGCCGACGCTTGCCTTGTGACATCTACTGGCATGGAGTTTCATTTCACGACAATGACATATTCTCTGGTCAAGTGAACAAGTTTCCAGGTATCTGCTGTTATTGTTAGCATTTGCAAGCATTTCTAGGGACGAGTCTCAGTACACTCTTCTGCAAAAACATGACAGTGTTTTAAGATCACACTTGAGGACTCCTAATTGGCCATCACAGCCTGAGTTCTGCTGTACTGCTGTTACCTGGGGAGGGAAGTTAACAGGAGATAATCAGGATTTAAAGCACTAATGGTTTAAAGATGGATGGCTCTCAAAGACTTAAAGACAGACTTTCTTAGTCTAATTCTGCTGGTGGAAGAATGTGATTTTCACTTGCTGGGTTACAGATGTGGTATGGGGGGGTCTAATGAGAAGACTGTCTTCTCAAAATGAAATAATAGAACATTTCTCATGCTGGAAATCAAAGTACTAAAATTGAAGGAATAAATCACAGAAATGAGATAATAGCTTTTCCCTTTTGTGAAGTATCATAGTTGGAGGTACCATTTTTAAAACCAAATGCACCAGTCACTGTACTATTATATATGTATTTTACTGTAGGCAGCCCCTGCCTTCTACCTAGTAACATCGTCTCCATGAGACTTTCCCCTACAAAGAGAACTCAGCATCACAATACTGTTAAAAAGCACCTGCACATTAAGATACCCCTCCCCACCCAGCACCTTCATACACGTTTAACAAAATACTAACAATCTTTCTATAGTTCCTCCCAAACCTTAATCATGTTTATCATTTTTACATGATTGCAGCATATAATTGCCTAAATATAAGGTATATTCTCTTAATATTATATCATTTTTTATTTGTATTAAATGGAAAATCAACTTACACTTTCTTTTTCTTTTTTTTTTTGGCATCCCATGTGTTTAAGAAAACTACCTCTCCATACGTTATACACCAGCTAGTTTGGCCACATGCACATGGGGGTTTTCAACTTACACACACTTACAAGGTCACTCTCATAGGCCACGCTTTGCTCAGATTCACTTAGAAGGATTCATGGCAGGAAACTAAGTGTCCCCAGCCAGTCAGTGTGAAGCATTTCCCTTCAGTGGAGTATTTCCATGTGTTCTGGGGTCTAGTCTGTAGCCCCTCAAGAAAGATCAGGTGGAAGGAGACAAGATTCACATCTGTCTTGGCTTATATCCCCCACAAAAAGAAGCATCTCTTGAAATTGTTCCACAGCAAGCTTCCAAGGTCCATGCCAGAATTATGTAAATTTACAAGAATCACCGATCTCTGGAAATCCTAGCCCTGTGGCCTCCTACAGGTGTTTTTACAATTTAACAATTAGGGATCATTTTAACTATATGCTGTGTTGTCTAACGAATATGGCTAACATTCTACCTTTATTGCTTTTTAGGGGAACAGAGATAGAAAGTTAACATTAGGTCAAATTTGTCCTCAGGGAAGGAGAAAGGGTTTGTTAGAGAAAAAGACTGACTCTTGCAGACTGGGTTTTTGCATACCAGTGTGATGTTTTTTCTGTCTTGCTGTGCAGAAAAGGGATACTTTTTGATGTTCCTAAAAGCACTTCTTGGGATATTGGGAGAAAATGATTTGGAAGAGAACAATTCTTTGAATGGAACAGAGTTCCTGCGACTTGAATTATCAAAAAGAGGCTTCATCCATATTTTCTCCACTGTCCATGCTGCATCTAATGGCTGAGAGTGGGAAAGGAGTAGTTCTGGGTCTATGTTTGGAAAACACGTTAGAAATATAGACAGAAGTACTCCTGAGGGACTAGCCTTATGAAAGATGATAAAAGAAAATTCATTCCAAAGAAACAAGTTTGCCCCATCCATATTCCACACACCAGTGATTGGAACATGTAATTTTGCACTTTACTAACAGCAGTTAATTAGCTGTAATGACAAAGGTTCTGGAACCTCTAGGCAGAGGAATAGTGCTGCATACTCTCTGCCCTGTGATGGATAACAATCCTCAGCAGCAAAGTAATTCCAAAACTGGCTGTCCTTTGGCTCCAGTTGTGTCCACACTTACCTCTGACTCTTATATATCCCATTATTCTAAAAATGGGTTTCTCATGCATGGCACTCTCTAATAAGTTCCAGTAGATGTGACAGGCAAGCATAGATACTTTATGTGCTGCATAAACTGAGAACTTTTGGATATACACATGGAAAGAATTTGTGATAGCATGTTAATTTTTTTCACTTTCATTAATTTTTGTGGGCAATTTCTTTGTTCAAAATGCATTCTTTGATCTTAATTGATAAATTATGTTTTTTATAAAAAATAATCTGGCTAGGGTAGCTCAATGTGAAGGACCAGGGATTCAGTACTAATCCCTAGTACTGAAAATAAAAGCTGATTTAGATATGTCTTTGGTTTAAGAAAGTCTAAAATGGTCAATTCTCAGCTTACAAACAATAGGTTTTTGCAGAATTTCAAAGTCCGAGATGTATGACAACACCTGCAGGTGGTACCTGAGGGCTGATCACAAGGAAGAGCTTTCTGTCATAGAGGGAAGGGGGCTCATCAAGGAACCTCTGGGGGTAGGCAGCACTGCTCTGGGGATGCAAGGACAAGGAGAATGGCATGCAGGAGAGAGTAAAACACAGAGTAAGTGCTATGCCAGAGGAGGCTTGGAGTACTTGAGAGTTTGGAGCAAGGGTATGCACCTAATCCAAATCTGCTTGGTGGATTAGGCTAGGCAAAGTGAGATACTGGAGAAAAGGATTTGCTTATGAACTGAGCCTCTAGGGATGGAGCAGAGCTGGTGCAAAGACACGTAACACTTTGTGCAGGCTGCTCATTCAGTGAAGAGCAAGTGGTCCATACTGGTTCAGGTAGGTCAAGTGAGTGGGGCAGTGGAGAAATGATAAATAGGGACCTAAGAACAGCATTGTTACAGCCTGGAAGTTACAGGAAGTCACTGAAACATTTTAAAACCAGAGAATGACACAGGCTAGCTTGTGTTGCAGAAAGATCAGTCAGAGGGACATATTGGAGATAGATGGAAAGGCCAAAAGAGGAAACAGATACAGCTGAGAGGCTACTGAGGTATCCAGGCAGAAGATCAACTGATTAATGGTAATGGGATAGGAGAGAGTGAATCCGAGATTATGTATTTGTTGTTTGGTGGTTGTAATGTGTTTTTGTTGAGAATTATTGTTATAAATGCTACTTGGATTGCATAGTACTCCAAATACAGCTCAGTTTGTTTTGTTTTCATTTGCATAGGTAAGTCTATGTGGGCAAGCCTGAGGATCAAACTGTTCAGCTCTTGGTTGACTCCAAGGAGGTGAGGTCTACCAGGGCTAGTGGCCCCAGAGTGTCAGACAGACAGAACTAGGCCTCAGAAGGAGTGGTGGGAGGCAAGCCCTTGGTGTCAGAAGCTCTAGCTTGAGTTAGATGGTTTGCCCAACTAATAGAGGAACTAGCATTATAGGACATCCAGGGGTTAAACCTTACCAAGAAACCTAGGTAGGCAGTTCCCCTCAACAGAGCCTGTGAGTCTGTAGCAGGACCCCGGACCCTGGGCTAAAGTCACAGATAGAAGTCCAGCCTGTTGGGTAGGCTTAGGAGAAACAGGTGAGGTTGGAGAAGAAGGAGCATTGAAGAGAACAAGGCAGAGCCTGAGCTCTGCATTCCTAAAGCAGCCACTCAGATACTTGGAGTAAAAATAGATTATGGAAATTTGGGGTCAGACAATGGAGCCTAAGAAAAAAACATCAAAGCTTTCTTATCCAATTGGAACAAAAAGTTGAGGTCAAACTTTTAGCAGAGAGGAGATGATAGTTAGACCTACATCTTCTATCTCAAGTCAGAATGGGTCCCAGAGCGCAAGGAGAAGCACAGGCAGGGAGGCATCAGGTGTCGCAGCTGCTTAGAGAAGGGAGGTGGGGCATGGAGCCTGAGGGGCTTGGCCCTGGCAGTGACCTCCCTTTCACACATTTCCTCTGGGAGCATGTGCCCTGGCTCTGTTAGGCACCCAGCTACTCTTGTCAGGGTTGTAGTGTGAGAAGATGACACTACAACAGCTGCCTCTAAGCCACTGCAGAGGCAGGGATGCCAGCTGCTTCCACACAGGGTCTAGTGAGGGTCCAGAGACTCTTTCCCTGGCAGCATTGGGTGGAAACACAGCTTAGATATGGAGGAGGCACAAATGTTGATAGTAAGTGGATCGAGGGAGGTCTACACTGTTGCCTCCTGGAGACAGGCATATAGGCCAGGCTGGGGGTGAACCACTGACAGCCTACAGGCAGGAAGTAGAGGGGAAAAGCAGCCTCTTGCCATATGGGTGCTTCTTTTGTTGGCTGCTTTCAGCAGAGAAGTGCCTGGAGACACAAAGGTCAACTTGGAAACAGATCTGTCAGCTGGTGTGGGACCCAGGATGTAGCGGTCACAAGGAGCCATTGCACAACACCTGTCAAAAAGCCACTAAAATGCAGAAATACCACCACACTGGTCCGGAGGCACCATCTACTTGGTATGAGGTGCTCTACATTAGAGTTAGTTTGGAAGGTTTTCAACTTAATACTGTAATTAAATGTTAGTCAAATACAAGTTAAAAGGTTCCAAAGATGTTGCTTATTTCATTTTCAACTACTGTTTTATAATTCAAAAATGCTAATTTTGTGAGTAAATAAAGAAAATAGCTGTAATTTTCCAGATTTATTTCCTGGAATGCTCAGAACAGTGTTCTTAGTGACTTTAAGATTGAGGAGTCCACGTTAGACATGGATTGTTGGAACCTTTGAAGCTCTTCTATTTCTCATTTAATCCTACTGTATATCCTGCCACAAAGGAATTGAGAATCTGGGTGTTGACACCATGAAGCTGCGAACTTTAGATTTATCGCTCTTTTTTTTAACATGTTGAGGGAAGCAAGATGTCGGTTATGAAAACCTTCCTTCTCAGAAGTTCATATGTCTCCTGAGTAAGGGCACTGAGAGACACTTCATTTGTTCTGAATGGGCCCACTTGGAACATGTGATAATTTAGTTACCTGACATGGAAGTCTTTTTACTAAATATAACTTTGCTAAGCAAATTTCTAGTGTCAGTAAGGAACTTTATGTTTAGTCTCTTTCAGGGGGAAAGCTATTTTTAGCCTCCATTTTTAGCAGTGATATTTGCCTTAAGAAATAAGTAGGCTAAAATTCACAATAATTTTCACCCATTTGCTTAAGCCTTACTAAGATATACGCTCAGTTTTTTCTCTTGTCAGAATTACTAATGATGTTAAAAGAAAAAAACTACTGTTCTTTTTAAGTGTTTGTTTTTCTTTGGTACCAGGGATTGAACTCGGGACCATGCGCTTGCAAGGCAGGCGCCAGAACCACTGAGCTAAATCCCCAGTCCTTTTTAAGTGTTTTTTAAGTGAGAAATTTCAATATCTTCTGGGCAAATTAATGACAGCTGATCAGTGTCAATGCCAGTACTTACAATGGATGAATGCCCGTGGATTGCATTTTTCCCCTTAACCTATTAATTGTGATATTATATATCCTTTCCACATCCTGTCCTTCATTCAAGGAGATAGATTTTTATGCTGAAACATGTATATTTTTAAAATTTTATACCTTTAATATTCATGAAAGATTAAAACAAAGCAACTTAATTAAGCTTCTCATAATGTCACCAGAGTCCACTGGGTAATATTCTCTAGGGTACAAGATAGAAGGAATCGTAGAAATATGTGTGCTGGCCCCAAATTAAAGAGCATATTAAATTTTAAGTACAAGATAGAAACACCTCTCTATTCCTTACCCACAGGGATGACAAATAATAGAATAAGAAACTAGGTGAAAACACATCCTTTCAATCTGATGCTTCATTTTTGTGATGAGAAAGAAACCCATCCATCTACTTTCATTAATTTGGTAGACCTTTTCAAACCATGAGTCACTGCTGTGGGGAATAATTCAAACCTGTTTTGTTTTGTTTTTTTTAAATGCTGCCTGAAAAAGTGACTGTGGTGGGTGGGCGTTTCACAAGTCCCAAAGAATAGCTGCTTTATAGCTAGTGGCCCACAGTTGTTCAAACCTCACAGCTTCTCTTCTCCCCAGGCATGACGGAGATGGTACGTAAAACTACTCTGAGCAGAGCAGTAAGAATCATGCAGAATCTCTTTCCTGAGGAGTACAACTTCTACCCTCGCTCATGGATTCTGCCTGACGAGTTCCAGCTCTTTGTTGCTCAGGTAGATGGCACTCTGTCCCCACGACCCTTGAATTATATTATGCTTGTGACTGTGTCTGAGTTCTGTGTGCTGCGAGCTCAGCCAATGGGACCCTAGGAAGCTAAGCCTAAGGGAGCCATTCACCCATATGCAGCAGGTGTTGGCAGCCATTAAGGCAGCTTGCAGAGCTGAATAGGTTAGGTGACAGGTAGGTAGACTGAAAAAGTGGGTCCTGACACAAGGAGACAGGCCAGAGACTAATATTGGAACTGGATCATGGAGTCAGGACACTGGAAGCCTGGGAGATGCAGCCTGAGTAGGTGCTGGACCACAGTGGAATGGGGCCATTTAGGGGATCCTAGAGGCAAGGTCTCCCCCTTTTCCATTGTTATGAAATGTGGATGGCTGGGCTGTGTTGAAAGGCCAGGGAGTAGATGTGACAACCTGAGGGGGAAATCGTTGACATGTTCTACTTTAAATTTGTTCCAGAATCATCTCTCAAATGGCCCACCTGTTCTACCTTGTAGCGATATGTTTGAGCGTGAAATTCTTTGGCGCCTTCACTACTGATTGTGAAATAGAAGCAGTAGGGAAGCAGAACTCAGAATTGCCATTTTGGTAGTCTTTTAACAGATTCATTTAGGACTATTTGGAAACCTTTGGCGAGTTCTGCAGTCCATACCCTGAACTATGGGCTAACTATGCAACAAATGCCTGTGTAATTGTGATATGGCAAATACCTTTCAGTGGTCTTACTATGTTCTGGGCATTATGCCAGAAGCTCTTTTAATATTCACAGCAATATTGTAACATTGGTTTTAGATATAGCATCTCCACTTTATAGATGAGGAGAATGAAGCTTCAAGAAATTAAGTGACATACTCAAGAAGTAAGATTTAAATCTAGAGTTGATTCCAAGACTTAATGGCCATAATAGTCTATTTTAGTGCCTCCGTATTATTTTGATTTTAATATTGGATTATAAAGCTTACAATAAAGTTACAAATTTGTGTTACTGAGCACAAAACATCTTGAAGTGATAGTTTAAAAAAAGTGCTCTGTGAGGTGGTGGTCACGTGGGTCTGTACACATTGTTAAAAGTACATCAAACTATTAACTTGGATGCATTCTATCATATGCAAATTATACAATAAAATTAATTTAAAAATAACTACCAGCTGTTCCCTATACTCACTCCAGTTTCCCTGTCCTGTGACTGCTCACCCTGTTGTAGCCATGTGGAGCACCTTTCCTCCCCATGTCTACAACTATCTATGTCTAACTTTTATGCAAGGACAAGTTAAGATGAGATCCAGCTGTCTTCAAAATCTAGTAAGTGACAAGAGCACATCCATCAGCCTTTCCTAAAGTCCCTTTGGGTCCCTTTGCAGTCAACTCCCTTAATCTCCTCTCCTGGGAACCCACAGGTCTGTTTTTTCTTTTAAATTAGTTTGGGTTGATCAAGAAATTCATATAAATGGAACCATATCATAGCTATGCTTCTGAATCTTTTTTTCCCCCTTAGGATTGTGTTTTTGAGATTAAATCTGTGTTTGTATGTATGTATCTGTAGTTTGTAATTTTTTTTGCTGAATAGTATTCCATTGTGTGAATACACCACAGTTTGTTCATCCTTTCAGCAATTGATGGGCATCTGGGTTATTTCCAGTTTGGGGTGTTATAAATAAAGTTGCCATGATTGTTCATATGCAAGTCATTTTGGGCTGGGTGTGGTGGTGCACACCTGTTGTCCCAGCACTCAGGAGGCTGAGGCAGGAAGATTATCATGAGTTTGATGCCAGCCTGGGTTACATACTGAGTTCAAGGCCAGCCGGGACTATATAGCGAGATACTGTCTTTAAAAAAGGCATTTTTAAAGATGTGTTTATGTTTTCTCTCTTGGGAAATACTTTGAGTGGAATTTTTTGATCACATGATATGTGTATGTTTAACTTTATAAAATTGCTAAGCTTCATATAAGAAATTCCAAAGTCATTGTACATCTTAGAGACAATGTATAAGAGTTATAGTTGTTCCATATCAGTGCCAGTACTTGATATTGTTAGTCTTTTTAACTGTAGAAATTCTGGTAGATGTATACTTACATTGCTTTGTGGTTTTAACTTATACATCTCTGATGGCTAGATAGTAACTTTTTGTATACTTTTTGAGCATTTAAATATGTTCTCTTGTTAGATATATATTCAAAATTTTTGCTCACCCTTACTGTCATTTTATTTTGAAGTCATAGGTTCTTTATATGTTCTAGATTTGTCTTTTATATGTGTATTCTTATTACATACACATTATTTAAATATTTGAAGTTATGAATTAGTGTTTTACAAGATTTAGCTATCTTGCGGCTTTCAAGGAATTAGTCCTTCTATATCTAGGTTGTCTGGTTTATTGACATGGAATTAAAAATAGTCCTATAGCTGGGGATTTAGCTCAGTGGTTCTGCCACCTGCCTTGCAAGCTCAAGGATACGAGTTTGATCCCTGGTACCAAAAAAAAATAGTCCTATTGCTAATATTGTCTGTCTCCTTTTCCCTCTCAGGGGATTGAACCTAGGAGGTGCTGGGCTACAACCCCAGATCTCTTTATTTTTTTATTTTTGAGCACAGGTCTTGCTAATAAGTTGCTTAGGCTGGCCTCAAACTTGGAATCCCTTTGCCATAGCCTCCCAAGTAGTTGAGATTACAGGCATGTACCACCGTGTCTGGCTTACTCTTTCATTTTTTTAAATGATCAATCTAGCTAAAGGTTTATCAAAATTATTGATCTTTTCCAAAAAACCTACTTATGATTTTATTGTTTGTCTAATTTATGTATCATAGATTTCTCCTTATTAAAATTTCCTTCTTTCACTTCATCTCCATTTAATTTGCTCTTCTTTCTCAAAAAGCATGAACCAAAGATCATTAATTTTCAAACCCTGAAGCAAATAAATTTTCCTCTAAACATTGTTTTTTAATGCATCTCAGAAATTTTTATATATGAAATTTTCAGTTCCTATTTCCCTTGGGATTTCTCTTTTGCCCACAGATAATTCAGAAATGTGTTGTTTAATTTTTACAATAATCTGAAATTGTCCAATGATTTTTATTGATTTCTAATTCAATTTTGTTAACAAAAGAAGTAATATTGTTTATTAATCTCAATCCCTTAAATATATATGTGTACATACATATACTATATATAGTATTTGTGAATATATTTTATGTACACTTAAAATAATTTGTATTCTAGAATTATTGGTCCTATAAATGCCCATTAGGCTGTATTAGCATTTGCACAGGATAGCCCTTACCATTCTTTTATTTTCAACCGATCTGCAGCTTTAAGGAATACTTCTTGTTGACAGCATGTACTTAGGTCATTGTCTTTTAGGCACTGTGACGATCAGTGCCTTTATATTAGTATGTGCAGTCCATTTACACTTAAGTGGTGGATTCACATTTACAATTTTCTATTTCATTTCTATTTATCTTGTTTGGATTAGTTGAAAATTTTTTTTTTTTTGGTACCAGGGATTGAACTCAGGACCTTGTGCTTGCAAGGCAGGCGCGGTGCCACTGAGCTAAATCCCCAGCCCTGGTTTAGTCGAATATTTTAACCTTTTCTCTTGTCTTCTTTTTAGGTTTATTAGCTGTACCTATTTTTAAAATGTTCTTTGGTTTTGTCCTCATCCTAGAACCCAGGGTTTAGAGTACATCTTTAACTTGCCACATTTACTTTTAAATGTTACGTATTTGAAAAATAAAATTTCAAAATATAAACATTTCACAACAGTATACCTCTATTCCCACCCCATCCCATGTTCTTTTTCATCATATATTTTACTTCTAACTGCAGAATACTGTACTTTCAAAATTTTTTATGCCTTGAAAAGCTGATTATCTTAAAAAAACTGAAGAGCAAGTATAGTTGTCTTTTCCACTCACCTGATATTTACAATTTCCGGTACTATCCATTCTTTTGTATAGCTCTAGGATTCCATCTGGTATCATTTTCCTTTATTTTTAAGGATTTCTGCTAACATATTTTGTTTTTTGTAGTACAGGTCTGCTGGTGACAAATTCTTTCAGCTTTCATTTGTCTGGAAATGTCTTTATTTTGCCTTCAACTTTTAAAATGTTTTGAAATAATTTTAGACTTATAAACACAAAAGTTATAAAAATAGTTTGTTCCCTTATAATACCCTTCCTACTGTTACCCTTTATATAATTAGTGAAACAGGGACATTAACATTAACACATTAAATTATGTGTGCATTAAATAATCTGTGCATTTTATTTAGATTTTGCCTTTTGTCCTATTGATGTCCTTTTCTGCTACAGGATCCACTCTGTGACCTCTGCTTGCCTTTAGCAGTCCCTTCTCCTTAGTCTCCTAAGCTGTTACAGCTCCTCAGTCTGTCCTTATCTCTTGTGACCTTGACTCTTTTGAAGACTACTGCCAGTTATTATCTTTTGAAAAGGATGATATTCAATTTGTTTCCATCTGATTTTTTCTCATCATTAGGTTTAGAATACACAGTTTGGGCAAGAATATTACAAAAGTGATGTGACCTTCTCAATGCAGCATATCAGGAGGTAGATGATGTCAATGTCATACTCCTGGTGGTATTAACATGGTCACTTAGTTAAGGTAATGTCTATTATAAAGTTAGTCATATTTTTTATCTTTTAAATCACTAAGTGTTGTGTGGGGAGATATTTTTAGACTATACAAATTGCCCATCTTGTATCTTTTTGTTTGTTTGTTTGTTTGTTTGTTTTTGAGACAGGGTCTTGCTATGTAGTTCAGGCTGGTCTTGAACTCACTGTGTAGCCCAGGCTGGCCTCAAAGGTATGGTGATCCTCCCGCCTCAGCCTGTCAAGTATTGGGATTACAGGTGTGTTCCACCACACCCAGCTCATCTTGTATCTTTAAGAGACAGCTTTATTGAGATACAACTGCCATAAAATAAACTGCTTATTTAAAATAAGCAATTTGATAGATTTTTTGGTAGTACTGGG